ACTCGGGGATATATGCTGCATTTTTCTTGAGATGTTTTATGTGTTATATTTACTCAGGTGTGTTATCGCTAGTGGTGATAGCATTACACGTACCTCTGATACACACACAGGAAATGACTTGGGGGGGGGGGGGGGGGGAATTTGCGATCATATTAGTCGTGTGTATTTTTCCCTTTATTAAATTCTGAAAAACGTTAATTGAGAATAAAAAAAATAAAATTAATTTTCTTGCATGATTCTGACCCTCATTAAAAACTGACCAAATCACTAAAACGTTTTATATATATATATATATATATATATATATATATATATATATATATATATATATATATATATATATATATATAACCTCTCAAGTGTTACCGTGAGACCTGAATATGCTAATATATGTAATATGTTGACAAAATATGTTGACAAATAGAATAAAGTAAATTTAAATAATTGGCCTATGAATGTATTTTTATTAAAAACGTGGCCAATTTTAATGAGAATGTAAAGATTTTGAATACAACAAGACGCACCTCAAGTCGGTCTCAAGAATTGAACACAGAATTGCCACTGGATATTATTTTTACCGCCTTGTGCAGTACTCGATAGTATTTGCTATTTAAATAGAATGTCTTGTAAAATGTTAATAATAATCTTAATATTTACAGTTGCTACCGGGTAAGAGTTGAGTTAATCTAGCTTACTGTTTCTTGGTGGTTGTTTAACGAAGCTTAAAATATAGAACAAGAGCATATTTTACAATTTACAAGAATAATTTACTAGAAAGTAAATGTTGAAAATGTATAAGAAAGCTGTGGCGATGTGAATATAGATTGTTGTAATGTATGTATAATGACATCCTATTGTTATGAATCTTAAACTGCTATGTAATACCTTTACACCCATCATCGAAAAATCTTGCTATTCCATTTTTTTTAAACAGGTGAATCTATATTTGTAATGCTATACTGGACTATATGAAAGGCTAGTAAAGACCTAGCTATGTGATGAAAAATAAATTATACATGTAACGATTTTATTTATTTAACATCTGCTTTTATGCAGCTACCCTAGACTACACGACAGATTACATAATATGTAGCTGGCTCTTGATACATACTAACAAAAAATGACTAACCATCTCACAGGATGGTTAGTCATACAGGGCCTTGTCATCATTAGCCTCCACTGGCAAACTTTCTTGGTATGTGGAGACATCAAGAACACAAGAGTGAATAAAATAACGTGTGACATTTCCATGCCCAACCATTTGGGCTGAAGAGTAGAGTGACGGTCTCGCTTCATGCAGGTCGGCGTTCAATCCCCGATCGTCCAAGTGGTTGGGCCCCCATTCCTACACCCTTGCCCGTCCTATCCCAAATCCAGCCATTACAACTATAGTGTTCCATAGTTGTAATGACTTGGCACTTTCTCCTGATAATTCCCGTTCCCTCCCTTTTGTTAGGAATGAACACACTACGGTATCTTGTCGCCTAGTTTCATTGTGTTTCACTCTGCCTATAACGCCAGCCATGCTTGGTGCTGTCTTTGGGCGACACGTATTTATTAGGAAGCCTTTTTAGGCTTTATGTTATGCTCAAGTCTTGAATCATGCCGTCTCCCACAGAACATATGAACAAGTCCGTTTCCATTTACGGCACGTAAAAGAAAATAACCTAGTCTATTTGTCTCTGTCGTGTGCACTCGCTGTAACCCTTGGCAAGACCTGACGACCGCTGTAAATCGGGGTCCTTAATAGCGCATTCTTGATCTCGCCTAACTTTTAAAACACTTTGGAATGGCGTGTTTATGGTATACAGGTTCAAATTCATGTTTAAGTAAGGATATACAATTCTATACAAGTTTGTTCTGTAGTGCACTGTTGTGTAATGAAAGCCTCGTCTTTTCTGCTCCATTGATAAGGATTTGAATAAAGAAATGTTCTGTTTACAGTAGCTTGTATTATTTAATTTAGGAATGTAGTGCAGTTGCGTGCGATTTTACCCCATCAATGTTGATATCAGTCTAAAAGTCAAATCCATTACTGGGAGTGTGTGTAGGCTGTGCCCAGTATTGGTCAGCTGCGGCTACTGGTATGAACTAGAAACAGTTAACAATGAGCTCGTAGCAGTGTGAAGGGAGGCATGATGTGTTGGTGGGGCTATGGGGAGGAGGTAGGTGGATATTGAGCCAGGCTCCCGAGGATTGGTTGGTAATATGCAGCTGAGTCATGAATAGATAACTAGCATGATGTAGCCTAGCTGACGCCAGTCATGAGGGGGGGGGAAAGACACAAAGACTCCCCACTGGCTACTGGACCCCTAGCCATGACTAATGGGGGAATATATTCATTCAAACATCATACTTACTTCAGGATTGCGTGCTGTTTGACCACTGTATATGGGATATTCGTGACCCTGAAATTAGCGCAAGCCTTATTACAAACTGCTGCCTGGTACTCGTCTTATGGTCACCCATTTACATTCAATATTAATTCTAAGATAACATGACCACATACACTGCCGAGGTTAACGACACAGAGACTGTAAAACACATTGGATATAATATTATTGAAATCAAATAATAAACACTCATCCATCAACTAAGTTACTAAGTGATACTGACATTAGTAATCCAAGCCTCGCGGGCTGGGCAAAGTCTGAAGGCCCGCGCAATAATATTACTTACAAAATAAATATATTTTGTTAATTATTCAGTTTGTCTTTTTGCAATGACGGCGCGTGTGTAATATTTAATTCGTGGCGTATGCGAGTTATATATTTTTTTGTTTGGTTTTAATAAAACATTGTCGTTTGTCTTAAATTGAATTGAAATAAGTTTATTGACGTAAAATACACACAAAGGGATGAGGTAGCTCAAGCTATTCTCACCCCGTTCAGTACAACGTGTTCATACATATATAGACACACATCACAAACAATAAATATATTGCCAAACATTCTGAGAAATAAACATATACATTTCCTTTATCTTAAACGTTCACGTAAAATAAAGGCGGACAGAGATGCGTCAGCTAGGGGAAATCACAATGACTATGGCAGCATGCTTTTAGTTCAGGCTCGGTCACCACTGCTCACCTAAATTGCCACTCTCATTTGATATACCCAACTGGTTAACGCCAAGGTCCCTGCACTCTGGTCTTTGATAAATAAATTAATAAATATATTACGGATAACCATGAGCGAAATTGAGAATGGAAATTGTTTTGAGCTTTCATTTATATTTAGCACATATTCAGAAGCTCCTAAAGCAATTTCCATTTTCAATTTCCTCCGTGGTTATCCATTGTCGCATTTTTCCTAACGTCGCTTTTCTGCTATGAAAGCGTTTTGTGCACTTCACACAAGTTAACATCCTCCATCTCCTAATGCATTCACGCGTGTGCATGCACGAATATCAGTATAATATATAATATATATATATATATGAATGAAAACTCCACACCCCAGAAGTGACTCGAACCCAGACCGCCAGGAGAACATTGCAACTGGTGTCATGGTACCTTAAACCTTGACACTAGTTGCAATGAGCTCCTGGCGGTCCGGGTTCGAGTCACTTATGGGGTGTGGAGTTTTCATTCGCATATATGCTTGGGGACCATTCAAGCTTATTCACACACACACACATATATATATATATATATATATATATATATATATATATATATATATATATATATATATATATATATATATATATATATAATATGTGAACAAGCCTGAATGGTCCCCAGGACTATATGCAATTGAAAACTCACACCCCAGAAGTGACTCGAACCCATACTGCCAGGAGCAATGCAACTGGTATGTACAGGACGCCTTAATCCGCTTGACCATACCAGTTGCGTTGCTCCTGGCAGTATGGGTTCGAGTACTCAGAACAGAACTCCAATCAAGAAGATTCGTGCACAACTCATTGAGTTAACCCTTCCTGTCATATTCAATAACTTGAATACACACACACGGACCAATCCACCATTATACAAAAGCCACCCAAACAATGGCCAACCCACTCTCATACATAAGCAACCCCTCCAACATTGGCCAACCCATCCTCATACAAAAGCCATCCCCAACAATCGCCGACCCATCTTTATATAAAAAAGGGCCACACGTTACATGCAGGCTGGCCAAACCGTTTTAGCAAACCCCCCCCCCCCACTTCTTTGCCGTTTTGAATTTCAACGTTTAGTTGTAATAATTAAATAGTTTGCATTTTGCATAGTTGTGTTTGGCATAGTAGGTGGGGAGGTAGTCTTTTATACAGCCACTGTTCTTTCAGTATCAATATCGTCAATATTTACGTTGGTAATTAAAAAAGGTACATTCAGGAGTTTGTTTTCCCTTGTTGATTACTAAAAGTAGATAATTATGTGGTACCCCTGAAGACAATGTTTCTTTCAAAAATATGTACAAAGTTTAGAATCCCTTGATAAATTATTTGATTGTTTCTCTAATTGAAATTTGTAGTTTTATTTTACTCACAATGCAACTTTATGTATTTCCCAGGTAATTTACTTATTCCTACATCAATTAATATTTTCATTGATTCCCCCCTTGGGGCATCAAAGTATTTTTCATTGTGTTTCCTTGTGAAGAAACATGTCAGTGTTTCTCCAACAAAGTAACATTGTGTTTCTTCCCCCCCCCCCCCCCCCCTTCAAAAAACAACAGAAGAGTAATGTGTTATTGAGTTTCACCCATCAATAGTTAGTCCTCGTTTCCAAGACAGGAGAGCTTCTCTCCTCTAATACAACAAGCTACCTTTGTCTTATTTCAAAACAAAAAACTAAATTTTTGTAGCTCACCAAAATTTTACTTTACACTTAATCTTCCCAACAAAGTAATATGCATTCAGCCCCCTCCTCCCCTCCCACAAACAAAAATATTGTTAGTGTACTAATTAAAGCATCTAGGCGTGTCGCCCAACAAATTTATTGTGTTAATAAAATACCTTACGATTGACTTATTTGTGCTTTGGTTTTGCAGTTTCGACGACAGCAGCAGCCTGAGTTCCGGGGTGAGCGACACCTTGAACGAGATGTCTGCCGAGGATGCTCTCTCGTCTTCACTGTCCTCCGACCACCCTGCCTACAAGGTATGCAGGGGCCCCACAGACCCTTCAAGATGTTACACAACCAGGGATCATGTTCACTCCTATCATCTACCGCCTGTGGGTTACTCATGCCTGTGCCACTTCTTGTGGTGGCCTAATTTTCATCAGTCATCAATACTTATGAGTTATTCATGCCCATGCTACCACCTGTGATGGCTTGATCTTCAATCAATCAATCATCAGTAACGCACCACGATACCCAGTAGCCTAGCGGGTGGATCTATTTTTCTTGGTTTGTGTTTATCTTGTCAGTTCGGCCAACTGAATATTGGTTAGTAGTTATATAGCTGACAGCTTGAATGTTTTCTAACAATATAAGCTTTAGATGACACTGCAAACACCTTTACACTGCGAACCAGGCATGACAGGGCGGATCTCTTCAAAATCTTTAAAACACCAGTTTGAAGGTTGTTGATCCTGACAATTTTTACAAAAGGTCAGATGTAACAAACAAGAAACAACAGTTTCAAGCTCGAGCTGAAATGCTGGACTAAAAACAGGAGATGCTTTTCCACCCACAGGGTTATAAATTCATAAGTTCCTCTGAAGTGCAGTTGGGTTTGTTCTCGACTCTCAATCTAGAATTCCGGGTTCGTATCCCGGGAGGGACAGAAATATTGGGTGCATTTCCCGTCACCTAATGCAGTAAGGTTAGTAGGTACTCAGGAGTTAGTCAATTTGTTGTGGGGTTGCATCCTGGGCAGGGTCTGTAATTCGACCTGAGGGGGTGGGGGAGGCCTCGATATAAGCCTAACGTGTATCAATAAACTCTGGCTGCCTGTCCCATGACACAATAAAGGAATTAATAACCGCCTACCCACCGAAGTTGTAAATGCCAAAACTGTTCAATTTTAAAATCCAGCCAGAAAATAATGAAAGCAAACCTTTGACAAGCTACCAGCTTCCTGTCCTCGTCGAGATCACTAGAGTGTTAGTGGTTCTGAGATAATTCAGATACAGTGACTTCGAAGCCTTTGAAGGAATTGCAAGGAAGGGCAAAGTTCAAAACCTCAGCTGTTCAAAATTTAACTAGACTTTTATTTTATGTGCATGTACATACAGAAATGAGCATTCTAAGAATGTTCCTCTCACAGGATTACTGAGGGAGGAAGCCTCATTCCACTGCAATGTAGTAGTGTCATATATTGCATTTAAAATTATTCATCATTTTCACAATACTGTATTTCAATATACAATAGTCTCACATACGACTTGATAATGGTCCAGGATGGACCGAAACGTCGTCGTCTCTACATCTTCTAGTGTGTGGTTTGGTCATCATATCTTCAAGCATGTTATTTTGACTCATTTTCTGCAACAGCCTCAAAATTATCATTTTAATCTGTCTTCCTATAATATTTATCTCATTATATAACCTCACACGGTGGGGGTGTAAGAGGCAAGATTAAAGTGGGCGCACAGGGATTTACGTTGGTGTCTAGGGTAACTACTGTGTAGATTTATCCAAATTATTCCTAACTTAAGTTAAGACTACTGTTGATAGCTGAGAAACAATATTTAAGCTTCATGGCAGGTCTTGTCCTGTTGATTTTGCAAATATTTGTATATTTATTTGTTGGAAATTTGTACATGTATGTTCAACACAGTGAACAGAAACGGTTATAGAATTATTACTTCATTGTCTAAAATTATAATATGGCTCGGAAAGAGACTAGAAGCTAAGTGGGTCGAGCCTTGGGTCGACTTCCATTGGTCATGAGCCGTGTTTGTCCCCTGATAAATTCAGTGGCTGGCCCCTGACATGACCTGGCAGCGCACACCTCTGGAAAACTGTATTGTCTAGTGTCTGTCATGCCTCTCTCCTCCGCTTATATGAACTTACTTTATTTCCTCTTCATGTTATTTGATATTAAACTATTTGATGAAGAATCATTGAATATATGGATCTGTGGCAAAAACTCAAATGATCATGTCATTTCTATAAAAAAAAATCTTTATTTGGCCCATTCCTGTGAAATGAAATACTTGTACCAAGGAAAAGCTTCTTTTTACCCCTGCAGCCTTGACATTTCCAGATCCGCTTCAGATTTCATGTTTCTTGGAAATGAGTATATAATGGTCTAATGATGCCACCTGCCTTGCAGTCTGTAGCAATGTTGGTCATATAATATTTTATCCAAAAATGCTTCAATATTTACAAGTTTGAGAATTAAAGTAAGCTGAATCAATTATAGGGGAATTGGTCAGTAATACTGTGATAATAATACTGTACAGTATTGTACATGAATATGGCTTCTGAACTTCAAACTAGAGCCAGTAAAACAAGCTTCTTTATGATGTAATGTAGGAACGCATAGTCTCAGAGAATATAATGAAAGGTATTCAGAGAAGACCTTGCAGATTCTCTGTAAATATTGGTTAAGTTTCTTCTTCTTCCACTCCTACTTTATTATAATTTTATGCCATATGATTGATTTTATTACATTGTGTTACAATTTACAGAACACACACACAACAATTACTTTTCGATATCAATCAACTTTACAGAGCTGGGGTGTGCACCCAAGATACAACAGGTGTTTCCTCTCTGGATTGCGACAGTGAGGTACTGGAACAGGAAACTGGCCACTCTTGGGTCTCTGGTTTGCCTAATGAGTTCCTTTCCACCTCCTCCATGAATCTAAGTACACATTTACCCCAGGTGCTCAGGGTCTTGGAATCCACTGGCACAACCGTGTAACAATGTTCTAGGCCCTTGTATTTATTAGTTTTCTGGGTCTCCCTAAAGGAGGCAGCCTCACCATTCTCAGCTCAATTGAGGGATGATAAACTGGTCTGTTTTCATCCCTCCATGTTGGTAGGGTAACTCCATCTGGGCATTTGAGACTTATCAGGCCTGCAGGATGCCTACTACATTTGAGACTCCCTTTGTGCTGGACACTTAGCTGTACCCAAACTTCTCTTAATGATGTAACTGACTGCTTCAGGTTTAGCAATCTTTCCCTTTGACTTATGACAGATAAGACCATGGCTGGTCTACCTTTCAATGGTTATCATACAAAATTTGTTTAAGAATTGTTGTTTATCTTACTACTGTATTTTCTTAGACCATTAAAATTTATTTGATTTAGTTTGTCCTTGCCACCTTAGAAGCTAAATATTTATGTAATGTGTATAAAATTTATAATTACTTTATATCTGTACATATATTTAGTAGCAGGTCTAACATGGACTCTTGTATTACAGAGCCGTAGCATGAAAGAAGTTGGCTTAAAGTTGCCAGTGGGACTTAGTGGGTCGTCGTCACGTAAAGTTGCGATGGGAGTAGACCCATCTGGTATGTACAAAGTAGTGTCCAGCCGGGCTCATGTCAAGAAGACGGAGAGCTCTCAACAGACAGACAACAGTGCCTTTAAGTGAGTACTTTTTTTATAAGTAAATGATCATAATTTATATAATAAATTTGTTGATAAGCTTGATAATGAAAATAAAATAATCTTATGACTAGAAATGTAAATAACTAACATGTACAGTAATACAAATACAGGTTAGCTTACTTATGTGTCACTGGGAAATAAGACATAGCTTTTGGTTTCTGCCTCTTAGCTACTGGTACATGGTGGCTTTGTAAACATTGCCACAATACTAATTCATTTTGTTTTGCTCATTAATAGCTTCATGAAGTTTGGAATTGATTAACACATTAATTTTCTCCAGACAAATCTCAAACACACAGTGGAAAAAATATGTTGAAAATGGGAAGGGCAGTCTTGAGCGTTCAACAAGAGAACTCCAGAGAGGAGTAGTAGACCCTTCCAGTGGAGGTTCCCGCAAAATGGATCACAAAAAATCTAACTTAGGGTCACCACAAACTGGGGTCCCCAGTAGCCCTGGTTTAAATGGCAGCTCAGGCATGTCTAGTTCAGCTTCATCGGGATCTAAAAAAATTGAGAAAGGAGTAAGTGGGGACAAGAGAAGAGAGGGAGACAGAAGCAGTCGGGACAGAAGTAAGGCAGCAATGGCACCCCAAGTGAATGGAGATTCCAAGAAGCTTCAAAATCCAAAGACTGCACCAAGTAACTTTGGCTACAATGGCAAGAGAACAACCAGCACTGGTAGTGTATCCAGCACAGGCAGCACCAAAGGTACCAAAACAATGAAAGAAGTGGATAGTGCAGGAAGCAGTTCCCACCACGATAATTCTAGTCATAGCCTAGAGAGACCGAGGACAAAACTAAAAGTATCAGGTGGAACACAGACAACTAGTGACTTGCATTATATGTCAAGTGGTGTGCATAGTGATGGTGAATATTCTTCAGGATCTCTTGGTCGAAAATACCAGCTCAAATCTTATTCTCTTAATGGTCCAGTAGCAGCCCAGTTATCACAAAGTGTTAGAGAGAGAATTATGCAATCCCCATATGGTAAAGTTCATGTAGGTGAATATGGACAGTATCCCTCCCCATACTACAGGGAGAGAAGCCCTCGCATTAAACCGACAGATGGTTCACTGAGCGATTCGCCTTACTCGAACTATGCAGAGTTGCAATACAGTGGTAGCCCTTACAGCAGCCCATATTCTTGGGTGTCCAGAAGCAACTATGCTGGCTCAGTAGCATCTGCTCCAACAAGGTAAGTTACATATTGATTTATGCTTTATCTTTTTTGCACTTGTTGTGTTATGCACAAAATGCAGCACCTTTTTTGTAAGAAGTATTGTGTTCAAAAATGCTTCATAGCATCCTAGTATCTGATTTTTTTTATTTAAAAAGCTGCACATACTCTTCACCCTCAAAATTAATTATAAGATGCATACCTGTCATGAAGCATCAAAAGATATTAGAACAGTCCCTCATAATAGATTCATACTTTGGCTTCTTTAAAATAAAAACAGACCATTGGGTGGCAGTCTGACAGAAGCAGAGAGCATGGAGAGTATAAGCTCAAGCGCCTCGAGTATAGCTGCACAAATCCAGCACGCTCGGGCCACCAGTCTCACACAAGCCCGCCTCATGATGCACCAGCGGGAAATGTCCTCCTCACCCTCCCCTAGACTCGCTCGCTCCAATAGTGTTAGGTAAACGCACGTCATATATTCTTAAATTTTAAATAATATCAGATGTCACGTGTCTACTATTCATTACATGAAATTAAATTACAATACTGTACAGTATATGATTTAAGCTAACATTTTAGGCTAGGTTTTTTTGTCTGTTTGTATTTAAATGATTTAGTCAGTTTCTTTGAAACGGTGAAGGGCAGCTGGTATTTGTTGCTGCAGCTGCTTCTGCTTCAAAGTACATATTTGTATTGTGTGTTCCTGTGTGTGTCTTGCGTGCACCGCTTTCTCTTGCTTGAGAGTTTTAAGGTTTGGGACATCATTCCTTGAGAGTTTTAATGGGGTTAGAAAAATTATTCTCATGAGCATTATTCTTTGGAATTGTTTTACAAGTAACAGCTTATTGAAGGAATTGTTAAAAGTTATGCATGTTACAGTAATATCTGCACTAGCAAAAAAAGTAGAAGTACAGTACCATAATGAAATATGAAGCAAATGGAAAGTGATCTTTAAAAATTTTAGTTTTTATAGTTCGGTATAGCCGACCAGTGTTGCTTCTTTGGAAATGGAGCTAGAGAGTCCGTTCAGTATTTGAAAATACAATCCCTATCTATAATTATAGCCTGTATGCAACAGTGTTTTTTATACAGTATAATAACGAGTAGTTTTTATTATGTGAAAAGCATAATTAATATGCATATTGTTGCAAGGATTTGTCACATGGCATATTCTATGGTGGAAAATATAAAGTGTAAACGTGTAAACATTGTGAGCCAAACCTTTATCACACTTAACTTTGTACACGCAGCCACAAAGTGGGAGTTAGTGGATCTTCGCATTTTGCAATAATGATGTGTCAGATTTCAAATCCATGTGATATAATTTGTTTAAATGTGTCAGTTTTCAAAGTAATTCATAAATTTGATGTGGCAGATTTGTTTATTATATTTACAGGCACATACTGTTACAGCATACATATCAATGTACCAAAGACAGATTTCATAATTACCAAGTGGCTCTAAAATAAGAATAAATATTTGCACTTGTCCACTAAGGAAAAACAATAGTAGATGAGGTAAACTAACGTATGTGTGTGTGTATGTACAGTAATTATTTAAATGTAGTTACAGGACAAGAGCTACACTCGTGGTTTCCTGTCTTCCCAGCACTCTGTTACATAATGGTTTGAAACTACTGACAGTTTTGGCCTCCACCACCTCGCTTATTCTAACCATCTACCACTCTTGTGAAAGTGATTTTTTTATTATTTTTCCGGCAGCTTCGTTTACTTACCTTAAATCTATGACCTTTTGTTCTTGAGGTTCAAGGATTTTAGAGAATTATTCTTTATCAATTCTGTTGATTCCTATTACAGTACTATTGTGTAGGTAGTGATAATATTGCCTCTTTTTCTTCTTTCTGACTTTGGTATATTTAATGCCTCAAACCTATCCTCGTAGCTCTTGTCTTTCAGTTCTGGAAGCCATTTACAGTTGCATGTCTTTGCCCCTTTTCCAGTTGATAGGCTTTTCCAGATATGGGTATCTTCTTGAGGTTATCTTGAGATGATTTCGGGGCTTTAGTGTCCCCGCGGCCCGGTCCTTGACCAGACCTCCACCCCCAGGAAACAGCCCGTGACAGCTGACTAACACCCAGGTACCTATTTTACTGCTAGGTAACAGGGGCATAGGGTGAAAGAAACTCTGCCCATTGTTTCTCGCCGGCGCCCGGGATCAAACCCGGGACCACAGGATCACAAGTCCAGTGTGCTGTCCGCTCGGCCGACCGGCTCCCCTACCTGGGTACCGTACAACAGCTGCATATTCCAACTTCAGTCTCGCAAAGGTCATGAACATTTTCTTTAGTATTTCACCATCCATGTATTTAAAAGCAATTCTGAAATTGGAAAGTGTAGCAGACTCCATACACAATGTTCTTAATGTGGTTCTCAAGTGATTGAAAACTATCTAGAACCACCCCTAGATCTTTTTTTTTTTTTCCCTAATCAGATCTTTTTTAAGCATTTTCACCTAATTTGTAAGTTACATGTGGCCTATGTTCTCCTATTCCACTTTCCATAACATGACATTTATTACACAGAATAATCACACTAATGTGATGTATCAGTGAGAAGATCCATATGAGTTGTGATTAGGATTTCATCCTGTGCAGTGGGTATTCCCATGCACTCGCCCCAGACAACCAGGCCACGACATAGTCAAAAGGATTTCAACACAGGGTTTACTGAACCCATGAGGATTTCCTGAGGCTTCTGCTGAAGCCTGACCAGGATTTTCACACAAAATCCCCCCCCCCCCATGCACTCTGGCTCTGTCATCTAGGAATGTTCTTCCTCTGATGCTCCTCTTTCAATACACACGAGTAATCACTAACATGATGTATCAATGAGAAAATCCATTGGAACCGTGATGAAGATTCGAACCTATGCTGTGGTATTCCCTCATGTGTTCAATAGAGCACCTATGCTGTGGGTATTCCCTTGTGTGTTCTGTTGAACACATGAGGGAATATCCACAGCATATTTTTGAGTGCTGGAAATACGGGACACCACGAGTGTAGCTCTCATCCTGTAACTACACTTAGGTAATTATGCACACACCTAGACTGTGTGAAGCCTGTATATTCTTATGCCTGTTATGGAATGTGAATAAATACCATGTTATGGAATGTGAACTCGGAGAAAATAGACCACACACAACTTACAAATTATGTGTAAAGGAATTACAGAACTCTAATAAAGAATGAGACCTCGGGGTGGTTTTGGATAGTAAGCTGTTGCCAGAGGAACACAAAGAACATTGTGAGGAGGAGCGTATACGTCGCTTTCCAACCTCAGACTTGCTTTTAATTAGATGAATCGTGAAATACTGAACTGATGAACTGAATTTTGTAAGACCAAAATTGGAATATGCAGCAGTTGTATGGTGCCCAAATCTCTTAGGGGCACATAAGGAAACTGGGAAAGGTGCAACGGCACGCTACATAATGGCTTCCGAAACTGAGAAACATGAGAAGAGACAAGAGGCATTAAACATGCCAAAAGTAGAAGATAAAAGAAAAAGAGGTGATATGATCACCACTTACAAAATACTAACAGGAATTGACGAAACTGACAAAGAGAAATTCCTGAAACCAGCAACTTCACGAACAAGAGAATACAGATTCACACTAAGGAAACAGAGATGCCACAAAAATATTAGAATGCTTTCTTTTGCTATCAGTGTGGTAGACGGTTGGAACAAGCTAAATGAGGTGGTGGTGGAGGCCAAAACTGTCAGTAGTTTCAAAGTGTTATACGACAAAGAGTACTGGGAAGACGGGACACCATGTGTGTAGCTCTCGTCCTGTAACTACACTTAGGTAATTACACACACACATCTCATGTGACATTGATCCGACTTTAATACTACTTAAAAGACCTGCAAGTAAACCATCTCCATGACAGTGAATAACAAGAAAAAAAAAAGCTGCATTACAAAATGTGTGTGTGGATTACAAGGTAGAGTGTAACCTTGTGTATGTGTGTATGGATATCAAAAAGTGTGTGAAGTGCAACAAGTGAATGATATGGAAGTGTGCAGTGCAACTCACTAATATCATGCAATAGAATAATAGTTACGAAATAGAATACTTGACGTAACAGTGTGTGTTTTCACAACAAACATTTGATTTTAAGATTTTTTCAATGAATTTGACACCTATAAATTATTTTTCTGATTTAAGTTATTTTCTGAATACACTGTAAATCTTCAAATCCATTTAAGATCACCATTTTTAGCAACTATAAAAGCAAAGCTTATTTTATTTGGTAATGACATTAGATGTCGACATTTTAAATGCTAATACAGTACTGTACTTACTATTAAGTTTATATGAATAGCATGTTTACTCATTACATATTAAAGCTTCAAGTGGCATACAACTGTTAAATATAGCCTAGTCATTATATCTGTAGTTGTGTATCTTAGTACATTTATAGTACATACAAATTTATGTTCTTTAAAATAACCAATATTTATGCCATCCACAGCCATCTTATTGAACGGACTTTCCCTAGGTATGATTCTGTGGCATTATATCATTGCTTGCTCAAACTTCTCAGACATGCAATGTAAATAATTGTTTGGTTTTCTCAGATAATATACCATTGACTGCTCTGAGAATAAGCTTTAATTAGAAAACAACCTTTATCTCCTGTGCATAATATAATTTTTATTATTTCTAATGAAACACACGCTGAGGACATACTAGTTCAGTATTTGCTCCAAATGTTATTATATTCTGTATATAACTTGGAATGCCAATTCAAAAGAACTGCTCTGCTCGTGGGTAAATGCATTATTGTTAATACAGGTATAATTATTTTTAAGACTGACATGCTTTGCATCCTAATCACAGAGCATATTTGCATGAACAGTTATTTTACACTGTCTCTCCCAGTCACATTTTCTATACATGTGTAAAACTAATAATAACTCGTGTTAATAATGATTGCCCATCAAACATTTTTCCCATTGTAAAGTGGCACACGAGTGTAGATTATAGTAGCTAAATCAGTATAAATACAAAACTTCATAACATTTTTCAAATACAATATTGAGTGCACATTTTCATAATGCATGTTTTAGTAAATTGTAGCCATTCCTGAAATTTTATCTGCCTTGAAATAGGATTATTAAAGCTTCATGGTGGGTATTTCAAATGTGTAAAAATGCTTTATTGTATTTTTGGCAATTATTCTGAGTTATCACACACTGCTGCTCCCTATCAAGAGGAAACTCTTATCAACATCAAGGTCCCAAGACTTTCCAACACTACCGCTACACATAAGGGGCATAACTGGCTGACCTCTCACAGTGTTTGAGAGAACTCGACAAACACCTCGAAAGAATACCTGATCAACCAGGCCATGATTCATACCTCAGGTTGCAGGTAGTCATGTCCAACAGCATGGTTGACCAGACAACTAACCGAGAGGCCTGGTAAAAGACCGGGCCACAGGGCCTATGATCCCCAGAACCTCCACAGGGTCGCCTAAGGCAAGATCCATCCTAGTCCCACTGGACTGAATAAGTGTCAGGTCAGGTTGACAGTCATTGTTGGTGCAGTATGGGGGGTCATAATTGGTGTTGGGAAGACAGTGGAGTATTTACTCGATTCAGTCTGGGATAACCTCTTTGAAGTGTTCATTCATAATCTCTTCAAAGGATTCATTCAAATATAAGGAGAGCCCTTCTAACCCGTACTTGGCATGCACTTGACATTTAAGCCAAAACACAATCTTATGTGCCTGTTTGGCTTGCTTGGTCTGTTACCCAGACATGAACTTATGTGTCTGTTTTGCTTGCTAGGCCTGTTATCCAGACTGCCACCAGGCGGTAACACTGATACCAAACCCTACATGTATTTAAATTTTCCCGACTGCTCTCCATGTCAGCAAACAGAACCAGAATTTAATTGACTTTTTTTTTTCTTTCATTACTTTTTCATTGTAAACTAGGCTCATTTTATATGCACATGCCTTATTTAATATTGGGATATGTTTTTGGAAACTGGAATGCTAGTGGAATCAGTGCTGTAACGGATCATTATTTCAGTACAGATATACACATACGGTAATCACACTTATTGTGATGTATCAATGAGAAAAACATTGAATGAAAACAATGAGTGTGCGTGCGGTGGGTCCCCATGCGAACCCACAGCATAGGGTCGAATCCTCATCACGGCTCCTACGGATTTTCTCAGTACAAATATAGATAACAAACATGATATAAATATTTTGTCATGTATATAATAATGAAAGTAAAATTCAAAACAGTCAGTGTTCTTGACAGTGTTCGTGAAACCATTAACCTGGCAAGCTTAGCATCAGTAAGAGAAGATTTCAGCGACTAACAAAACGATGACGGACCTCAAACTGTAACTGATTCCATATGTTTATCTTTAGCCTTGTTCTTGAAAGAGGTTAAAGAGGGTCTTTGCCTTCTCCATGATGAGTTGGTGGCTCACAGGTATATGACATGGACTCTGATCTTCCACTTGTATGTTTAACAGATGTTCCATCTTGTCCAACAAAATGCTTCTTTAGTATGCTAGTTTCATTGAAGTCAATCCTTTTTTTTTTTTTTTTTTTTTAAACTTGTATGTATTCTTTAGAAATGTTTTGATGGATGATGTTGCTAGGTCTAGGGAATGACCATATCCACTATGCACTCGCCCAACTGAAACCGCCCTAATGCTTGCGTTTTAACATCCAGTGTAATATTCTTCCTTTGTTTTTTGTGGCAAGTCCAGCACTATTTTATCTTTTGTCAGCCATTATGGGTCAAAACTGGTTGCCAGAACAAATACAGTATAGTCAAGCCTGCCCTTGGACTGGGCATGGGACCAGAACCTCACCAAGCAGGTGTAAATGGCAATTGAGGTAAAACGGAGTAAGCAACATGCAATAAACTCTCCACTCAGGATAGTGATGTTGAGTATTCATTCCTTGAGAGTATTTACTGTATGATGATGTTACTGGCAGTCTCTCCTCCACAGTACACTAGTGGATTGTTATTCATGCATCCCCATTGGTTTTCAGGAACTGTTGTTCTGCAGAACTTTAATTCTTTACATTTTGAAACCCAATTCCTTCAAAATTTTCTTTGGCTGGTGGTAATTACCTAAGTGTACTTTCAGGGCGAAAGCTATGCTCATGGTGTACCATCTTCCCACCACATTGTCATATAACGCTTTAAAACTACTGATGGTTTTGACATCTACCACTTTCTCACTTAACTTGTTCAAACCATCTATCTCTGTTTGGAAAAAAATAATATTATTTTAGCACCTTTGTTTCCTTAGCTTGAAGCTATGACCTCTTGGCCTTGAGGTTGCCAGTTTCAGGAATTCCTCTTTGTCAATTTGATTAATTCCTGTTATTATTTTGTAAGTGCTGATCATATCACCTCTTTTTCTTCTATATTCTAGTTTTGGCATATTTAATGTCTGTAGCCTCTCTTCATAACTCTTGTTTTCCCAGTTCTAAAAACCATTTCATAGCATGTCTTCACACATCACGTGCAAAGGCATGCTACATTGATGTTTTTCTTGAGATATGAGCACCATACAACTGCTACATATTCCAATTTTGGTCTCACAAAAATTTTGTGTTTACTCTTGCATGTATGCAAATAGCCTATGTATTGCTCATCAAATCCATACATATTGATGCATAGCATGCATGCGTACATTTTCCACACACATATATATTTACATAAGCATTTTGGTTGAATAATATAGCAAATTGTTAACATTTTGCATGGCTTGTCACACACCGTATTTCTCATAATGCACTTCATAGGATGCACAAATATTCTTTAACTAATTATGAATTGCTTTTGTTATTGATAAAGGTTGCCGACATTTAAATGCTGTACCTTAACTATATTTGTTCATAACTTGTTTATAGTAACACAGTTGGGTTCATTATCAACTCGTAATCGGGAATTCCGGGTTTGAATCCTGGGCGGGACAGAAATGGTTTGATACATACAGGCTGCCTGTCCCTGACAAAATGAATTACAATTCTGTAGTTAATAAAAAATACAAATAATCCAGTTTCTTAAATTTATATTTGGGAATATTCCTCATTTATAAAATAAAATAAAAATTCAATTCACATTAAAACATACCTCCAGTTATCTCTTAATGAATTTGTTTAGCCATTTGTTTTAACTTGCACTTTATATACTGGGAAGATCCTTCATTTCGTGAAGTTTAGTTACCAAGTTTAGTCAGGGAGCCGGTCGGCCGAGCGGACAGCACGCTGGACTTGTGATCCTGTGGTCCTGGGTTCGATCCCAGGCGCCGGCGAGAAACAATGGGCAGAGTTTCTTTCACCCTATGCCCCTGTTACCTAGCAGTAAAATAGGTACCTGGGTGTTAGTCAGCTGTCACGGGCTGCTTCCCTGGGGGTGGAGGCCTGGTCGAGGACCAGGCCGCGGGGACACTTAAAAGCCCCGAAATCATCTCAAGATACTGTAACCTCAAGATAACCAAAGATAGAGTTTTTGGCTTTAGAATATCAAGCCCTAGTTACTCGTAGATGGTAGACAAATGGAAATGGGTGCCTGTTTCTTGAACTACTGCTTGTTTTCTTCCCCAAGAAAGTACAGTGACACTACTGCAGTACCTGAAGTTTTAATAACACATTTTCAATGAACATGGGTTCATGTTCAAGTTATGGAGCGTAAGAGTTATTCTTTAGTACAGTATTTTTAATTCTGTTGACTGTCAATCTTTCTTCTACACATTTACTATATATATATATATATATATATATATATATATATATATATATATATATATATATATATATATATATATATATATATATATATATATATAATCACACACACACACACACACACAGTAGGCATATACATCTTTAGATATTTGTGTTTTATCATTTATGATTCTGTTAAACTTGCAAAACTGATAATTAAGTACCTGCTAATTTTTCATGCATGGTTGTAAATTATTATTTTTTTTAATTTAACAGATCCACAAAATCTGAGAAGCTATACAGTAGTAGTGTTAGTGGTCGTGATGGGTACCATGCATCTCAACCCACAAGTCCAACACCCCCAGGAGGGGTAAGGCTGCCGATATCGCCCCTGAACACGGTTCGAGGTTCGCCGTACTACTCTACTGTCATTCCTAGAACTTGCAAAGATGATGAATGTGAGTTGAGTTAAAATATTCTATTTTATATTGCATTTCAGCGTGTACTTTTCATTCCATAAGCAAAATTTCTACATATTAAGGATTCTATTTCTAAGTAGTAAATAAGTTCTGTAATCTCTAAAAGGATTTAAATTACATGAATTTTATTTATTTTATAGTGATTTGCTTATGAATAACAAGAGCTTTACTTCTTAATTAATTTCGTATTTATAAATTTATGTCATTTTGAACAATTACAAGTATAGTATTACATATAATTTGACCCATTTTACAATTAATATTTACATTTTCCATGAAATAATAGGTGCAATTTGTAACATTTTTTATCTAAATGCATAATTTGTTTTTATCCTATTCAGGTCACGGTTCATCGCTGTCACTCGTATCATCATCATCATCACTGTACAGTTCTCAAGAAGAGAAGCAGGCAGCAGAAATACGAAAATTGCGAAAAGATTTAGCCGATGCACAAGAGAAAGTGGGAACGCTTACTAATCAACTCACTACAAATGTAAGTTATAATAATTGACTCAATTACTAAGAAAAATAAATTTAGCATCTTCCAAAGCATACATATCATATTTCATGTAGATATAAAATAAACTAGTGTATCACATTCAATAACTTATATATTTTTGCCTAAATGTATATTGCAAACTGGGTACTTAATCAGTGGTGTATTATATACACACACACACACACACACACACACACACACACACACACACACACACACACACACACACAATTTCTTGTTATAGTTATTAATACAGTATAGTAATTATCAGAATATGAAAAGATGTTAATTAGTAAAAAATAAATGTCATTAACCCTTAAACTGCACAAAATGTCATATGATGTGTGGCAATGAACTCAGTTTTTTAAATTTTCTGAAACTTTTTCAAATGTTTTGTGCATAATCTACTAGGCAAATGCTCCAACTTTGTCTAAATGATACAAGTGTAACTTGAAAAACAAGAAAATAAAAAATAATTATAAAATTGAATATTGATAACTTCAGATTTTGAAATCAGCTACAAAAATATAAAAATATCACCAACTGTTCATCTGGTGTTATTATGCTCTCAGAATAGCATATGATCTACATTTTAATATATATTTAGAATATAGGTTTTCAGTATAGTTTACTGTAAAATAAATATCAATATGATATTTGAAATATGCGCAAATTTAGACAACAAAAATTCATAACTCCAAACGTTTAGAGTTTATGAAAAATCAATTCTATAAGGATTGTAGAACAGACAGCTGTGCACACTATATGTAAAAATGGTGAGAATCGGTCAGAAACTAGATTTTTGGATACTGAAGTTAAAATTCTAGTTATGGATATAATTGAAGTTAAAGTTATCGACAATGAATAAGGCAGTTCTAATTCATGAATTTACTTGTATGTTGTAATAAACATTGTTTGGCATTCGTATTCAAGTATGTGAAAGTTGTAGGTTAATGTGTATAGAAATGAAGTCAAGAACCCCCCCCCCAAAAAAAAAAAAAATATATATATATATAAGGATAATTATAATACTGTAATTATAATAATTTAGGGAATATATTTAGAGTATACTTTACATAAGTAAAAAAAAAACCTAATCTGGTCCCTAATCATCAAAACAACCTAAAGCAACAACGAAAATAGAGTTTGAAATCTGTGAAAAATCATCAAAAAAAAATCAAAGATTTGTAATTGATTTATTTGTTGACCAATTTAATTATGGCTTCACATAGTTAGGGATGAGTATGCATTATCCAGGATGTAACGGTTAATACAAATTCAAATAATAAACAAAGGAGGAAAAAAACTAAAAACTTAAAAAGAAAAATTTCCCCTAAAAAAAAAATATTTTTTGGGACATTGTTGAAAGTAACTGATAATAACATTGGGCAATGTATTTATATGATATATAACAAAATAGAGCATAATAACATAATTACTCATTATTATTTGTGATATTATGCATTACTCATCAATGCTATAAATTCACCAGCTGTAGGCGATGAGTCACAATAACGTGGTTGAAGTATGTTGACCAGACCACACACTAGAAATTGAAGGGACGACGACGTTTCGGTCCGTCCTGGACCATTCTCAAGACAATCGACTTGAGAATGGTCCAGGACGGACCGAAACGTCGTCGTCCCTTGACCTTCTAGTGTGTGGTCTGGTCATCACCAGCTGTATATCCACTGTGTGGACACTTCTTACTACTATTCTTCTTTGTGTGTCGGACAGGTGCTTGCATCTCTTTATTATTGCATTATCAATCAGTTCCAGTTAATAGGAGCTGTTCTCTTTATCAACAAAACTGTTTTGTAAATATTTGTCTAAAATCAATTTATGAAAATATTTTGATGAAAGTTTCACGAAGCTGAAGCTAATAAGTTGGAGATTTCTTTAGCATTTTTAAGTCATTTTTACATAATTCAAATATTTTTTGAATTATACCCCCCTTCAATGTCACACATCATCTGACGTTTTGCGCAGTTTAAGGGTTAAGTAAGCATTAGAATATCACAGAACTTGTTTTAATTATCTTGACGAGAAAATGTAAACATTGAAACTTTAGCTGTTGATTATTTAGCAAGTCTGTTATATAAAGTTACTGACAACCAGCCAAGGATACAAGGTATTTAAGTTATTAGATAAATGAATTAAGCAGTGTCATCCAAAATTAAAGTTGCACGGGGAGTAACGATCAATTGCGGCAACAGAATAGCAAAAGCTTTTTAATTTATAAACAATGTATCCCCTGTTAAAAACGAAGAATTACCATGCCATATGAATGATATACTGTATAGAACTTTATATTTTTTAGTCACTTATTTTTGAGTGCATGCCGTGGTAAGAAAGGTGTTTTGTTAAAGTACTTTTCTTTTCAGAGTTCAGTTTTCAACCTCATGAATACGGTAATTATGAGTTGTCTTTGTCGTAAATACTGTAATGTTGGGAGATAAGAAGTTGCACGTAAATGAACACTACTGTATCTTATGGCACATCCTTGAAGTATTGGCTGGTTGTTAATATTCTTTTCTTTTATTTGTGTTGAATTCTTCTCACACTGATGCATTCATTCTCTCCTCAGGCTCATGTCGTTGCTGCCTTTGAACAGTCTCTTACAAATATGACCAATAGATTACAACAGCTCACAGCTACTTCAGAGCAAAAGGTATGGAAATAATACTTGTAATTATCATTTTCCAATTTATTTCCAAATAATTGTCTGTACTGGTATTACTTTTGGAATTCCAGGGTCACCGTGCATCCTTCCTCCTCCTACCTACCTTGAGGCTACCTTGAGGTGCTTCCGGGGCTTAGTGTCCCCACGGCCCGGTCGTCGACCAGGCCTCCTGGTTGCTGGACTGATCAACCAGGCTGTTAGACGCGGCTGCTCGCAGCCTGACGTATGAGTCACAGCCTGGTTGATCAGGTATCCTTTGGAGGTGCTTATCCAGTTCTCTCTTGAACACTGTGAGGGGTTTGCCAGTTATGCCCCTTATGTGTAGTGGAAGCGTGTTGAACAGTCTCGGGCCTCTGATGTTGATAGAGTTCTCTCTCAGAGTACCTCTTGCACCTCTGCTTTTCAACGGGGGTATTCTGCACATCCTGCCATGTCTTCTGGTATCATGTGGTGTTATTTCTGTGTGCAGGTTTGGGACCAGCCCCTCAATTATTTTCCACGTGTAAATTATTATGTATCTCTCCCGCCTGCGCTCAAGGGAGTACAGATTTAGGCTCTTTAGTCGGTCCCAGTAATTTAGATGTTTTACTGAGTGGATTCTAGCAGTAAAGGATCTCTGCACGCTCTCTAGGTCAGCAATTTCTCCAGCTTTGAAAGGGGCTGTCATTGTGCAGCAGTACTCCACTCTAGATAGCACAAGCGTTTTGAAAAGTATCATCATCGGTATAGCATCTCTAGTGTGAAAAGTTCTTGTTATCCAACCTGTCATTTTTCTTGCAGTTGTGACGGCTACTTTATTGTGTTCTTTAAAGGTAAGGTCTTCCGACATGAGTACACCCAGGTCCTTTACATTGCCTTTTCGTTCTATGTTATGATTTGCCTGCGTTTTGTACGTGGTTTCTGTTTTTATATTTTCAATTTTTCCGTAGCGCATGAGCTGAAACTTATCCTCGTTGAATACCATATTATTTTCTGTAGCCCATAGAAAGACCTGATCTACATCTGATTGGAGGTTTGCCGTGTCCTCTATGTTGCCAACTCTCATGAAAATCCTAGTGTCATCTGCAAAGGATGATACAGTGCTATAGGTTGTGTTCTGGTCTATGTCCGATATGAGGATGAGAAAAAGTACTGGAGCAAGCACAGTACCCTGGGGGACTGAGCTCTTCACGGTTGATGGGCTGGATTTTATTTTGTTGACTATTACACATTGGGTTCTGTCAGTCAGGAAATTGTAGATCCATCTGCCTATTTTCCCGGTAATTCCTTTTGAACGCATTTTATGTGCAATAACACCATGGTCACATTTATCAAAAGCTTTTGCGAAATCTGTGTAAATTACATCAGCGTTTTGTTTGTCTTCCATAGCATCTAATGCCATATCATAGTGGTCCAGCAACTGCGACAGGCAAGAGCGCCCTGTTCTGAAACCATGTTGTCCGGGGTTATGGAGATGCTGTGATTCCATGTATTTTGTGATCTTACTTCTTAGCACTCTCTCAAAAATTTTTATGATGTGCGATGTTAGTGCTATCGGTCTGTAATTTTTTGCCTCTGCCTTATTTCCTCCTTTATGGAGTGGTGCTATCTCTGCTGTTTTTAGTATGTCAGGGATAACGCCAGTATCTAGACTTTGTCTCCACAGAATGTGAAGGGCCTGCGATAGCGTTTTTTTACAGTTCTTGATGAATATGGAGTTCCAAGAATCTGGGCCTGGTGCAGAGTGCATAGGCATACTGTTTATGGCTTCTTCAAAATCTAGTGGGGATAGGGCGACGTCTGATATGTGATTTGATGTTGGTATCATATCCATGAAAAATTCATTTGGGTTATCAATCTTTAGTGCATTTAATGGCTCACTGAAAACAGAGTCGTACTGCTTCCTCAGTAACTCGCTCATTTCTTTGTTGTCATCTGTGAAAGTTCCATCTCCCTTTCGCAGGGGCCCGATACTAGATGTGGTTTTTGATCTTGATTTTGCATAGGAGAAAAAATATTTCGGATTTCTCTCTATTTCACTGATGGCCTTTTGCTCTCTTTGCCTCTCCTGGGTTTTGTATGATTCTTGTAGCTTGAGTTCAATTGTTTCTATTTCTCTACCTAACCTTCTTTGCCGTTCTTGAGATAGGGTGCGACTCTCAAGTTGTTCCGCGATTCGTTTTCTTCGCCTATATAGGGAACGACGTTCCCGTTCCAATCTGCATCTCTTTCTCTTTTTTCTTAGGGGTATGCGGTTTGAACATATTTCTAGTGCTACTGAGCTTATTTTTTCCAGGCACTGGTTCAGGTTTGCATTTCCTAGGAGTAAGGAAAAAAAAAACTTATTCAGCATGCCTTTATTTTGCTTCTTACATATGCATGCATACATGCATACCTTCAGACATACCAGCACTGTTGTTGTTTAAGATTTGTTACTTGGAACTAAAAGTTTCAAGTAGCACGGGCTATGGTGAGCCCATAGATACCAGCACTACAGACAAGCAAGAAACAAATACAGAGCAGTGATGAGAAAAACTTTGAAACATACTAAAGAAAAGCTCTAAAATAATGAGCAGACAAATGTAAAACAGATCCAGGCCTTTTTTATAAATTCATTACAAGAAAGTTGCAGGTAAAGGACAAAATCCAGAGATCGAGAATGGGGGAGCAGATTCACAGAGAATGAAAAAGCAATGTGCAAAACACTAAATGAACAGCTCTAAAGTGTGTTTGAGCAAAATGAGGTCTTAAGAGAACTAGACACAATGCCAGTTCCAGAGAACACCATAGAGTACATAGGTGTGTCTCGAGATAAAAAGGAAAAATTACTCAAGGAGTTGGGAAAAATAACGCAATTGGTCCAGCTGGAGTTTCACCTTTGGTTCTGCAAGAATGTGCAACTGAGCTGAGCATTTCATTTCAATTGATATTCCAGACATCTTTGTGTACAGGAATCTTAACTCCTGGGTACCTATTTCTTGTTGGGTGAACAGAGGCATTAGATGAAAGGAAACATGCCCAACCACTTCTGTTTCACACAGGATTTGAACCTGGGATTCCTGATTGTGAGCTGAGAACGAACCCAACTGTAATACAGAGATCCTTAATATTTTCTTTTCCCAATTCAGATAGGTAATATAATCTCATATTTATAGCGATGCATAACAGATCATCATACAGTATACATAATGAATGATACTTGTAGATCTCTTTGTTTTTGTATCCAGGAAATCACTGGGAGGCATGGCTGAACATAAGAGGTGGCATGTTCTAAGATGGTGAGATGTGTCATGGTAATGGAATTGGAATTCCACTGGGTGTTAACAATTTATAAACTGGCATGAATTTTGGTTTGTTTCCTTTTGCAATAATAGCATTCTTTTTAATTTAATAAAAAATATATATCTGATTAGTAATACTGTACCTCTTGTGCCATATGTATTATATATTTCAATGTCTCCTATTTCAGGACTCGGAGGTCATGGAACTACGGAAAACTATTGAAGCGCTTCGTCAACAGAGTTTAGATGCTGGACTAACTGTAGCATGCCTGCAAAGTACGTCCCCCGACTACCACCACCACCACCACCACCACCACCACCTCCACTCCACCCCTTCCCCTACCAGGCACCACCACCACCACCATTCCCAGCACCCTCCCAACATTGCCTCGTGTTCTGTGCTCAATGTTACCACCGGAAGTCGTTCCAGTTCACCAGAAAAACAACCGGGTCATGATGTTGCACGCAGACACACTTTCACAGGGAATTGTAAAGACCTTGTCGTGTGTGAATTCAGTGAAGCTGGTGAGACTTTTGTCACCTTTTGACAAGCAAGCAGGCTTCTCTTCTCTACTTCAAAGCTCATATGCTGATTCTTATTGGCTGAGCTATTACTGACTTAAAGCAGCCAGGCATTGGCAATTAAAGAGTATTAATACTACTGTAACTGAATTATTACTTCATGAATCAACATACTACTACTGAGCCATTGGGCTCTGAAATGGATTAGGCATGGGTGACGGCAGACTGCAGCAGCAGCAAGTCACACAATCGGCTTCCCTTTCCTCCCATAAATTGACACTTCCCTTAATGTTCCTTTTCTTTAACAATTTTTGTTATGTGAATAACTAATTGAAAATTGTGCTAACAAGCTTGATTGATGTTTTGCCATAATTAGCTTGAACTAAATTGGGAAAGCTTAGAAAAAATCTTAAATTACTAATTGCCACATTCTTTTGCATGCATTTTATTTTCTTGACTTTGCCTCTTCTGTTGAAGCTTGCTGGCTGCTGTTGGCTTTTGGTGTAATCTGTTGTTCCTTGTGGTTATTATTTTTGCACAATATTCAGATAAGTCTAGCACTATTTTTTGCTAAAGAAGTAATGAATGTTTTCTCCTCAAGGCACAAAATTTTACAGCTAAAAGATAAAACAATTTTCCTTTATAAATATATTTCTTGCATTATTATTTGGAATTGTCTTGAATAATTACTAAGATTGATTATCTAATTTTCTAGATTAAAGCAATATTTGGGTAAATATAGAAGCATGATGTATTAAGAAGGAATTTGTGATAATTGGTTTTGAATATATTTTCACTGGCCAAGTCAGTGTGCATCACAAATGGTATCTAAAAAACATACATTTGAATAACTAGAAAATATAGATGATTGATTAAAGAAGATTAAGCCACTCAAGAGATGGCACGGGCATGAGTAGCCCGTAAGAAATATAGATGATTTTCAATTATTCAATTTTTTTTTGCATTTTGATGAATTTAAAAGTAATTTAGCTTTGAAAAATGTTGAATTTTGCTACGTTTGTTGTGCCTAACACTGTGAAAAGGAAGCAATCATATATTCATGGGCTTTAATGGTATAATAAGTTTTGTACTGTTGTAGTCACATTGTCAAAGATGTTTTCTACAACAGGTGGCAAGCTAGTGCGAGGAACATCGGTCGAGTCTGTGTCAAGTATATCGTCAGCTTGCTCTGCAACCTCACACACCTCAAATCACGACAAAAGTGATAGCTCAAAATCTGGCAAAAAGAAGGGATGGGTATGTTTTTCTTGTTCAACTTTTGTTCAAATATAAATTGTTATAGAACCTTGTTTTAGTATAGCATACAAAGTTAATTCATTTCATGAAATGTTACATTAATAATTTATTAAATAGATTAATGTAGTTTACATTACAGAGTATGCAAGAAAAATCTTTTAATTTATTTCCAATAGCTTCGGAGTTCATTCAGCAAAGCATTCTCCCGTGGACACAAAAAGAGCAAACATGGTGCATCGGGTGGCTCTGTATCAGACATGGAAGGATGCGAAAGGGGTGAATGTTCTGCTCCTTCATCACCACAACTTCAGCGAGCAAATGGAGGACCAAACGATATAGAGTGCCAGTCTCTCACTAGGTTAGTAACCAGCCTGTCCTCATACAAAGAAAGACGCATTTCGCTTGTATGCGGTACATAAGGGCAAATATTGTCGTACTAGAAATTAGAAGCAGTTCACAAAAGTGATGGACTGTCAAAATTTTGTTGAATATTTCACAAAACTTGACATACCGGTACATCTCATTTACTTCCTTGTTAACAACAAGTCTTTCCAGTTAAATTCCTTAAAGACATTTCCAAGTTTCCCATAATGTCCTCTCCTAAAATCAGGTTTTTCAGCTGCTTCACCTTCCTCATTTTCTTCAAGATTATAGCGCATTGCATACTTTTACCCAAGGGAGGAAGGTACTGTCAAAGAAAATATCACTTCCTCTTTCCTGGTGAATATCAAATCCAGCATGAAGGGAACACTCCCTTCCCTCATCCTTGTAGCTTGTTTAATGTGTTCATACATGAATGTTTCCAGGATGAGGCTTACAAATCTACAGATGCAGAAGTCCTCTGTTCTAGTTTCATATGCCTTCCAGCCTAAGTTCATATGTCTAAGTGACTGTATTAGCATTCTTGCGGCTTGTATGGCATTTGATTCGAATGGAAGACATTCCTAAATCCTTGGATATGAGTCTTCTAGTGTAAATACACATCTCAATTTGTTGTTTTGATACCTGCCATGTGATTTGACCACAGGCCTGAACAATATAGCTACACCGTCCTCTTTTTCTTTGCCATATTGTGTAAAGAAAATTTGACCCACGGATTTTAGAGGAAAGACTGCGTTAGTCAAGTACTATGCTCTCATAACTTTTTATTGACTGTCATAATTTTATTTTACTGCTACTATTGTCAAATTAATAGCGTGTGATATATTCTTCAGTGACAGTTGGACACTGAAAACAAGATCCCCGTCATGTCAATGGCTTGTCATCTTGCCTGACTGCATGATCTTTTTCCAATCACATACCTCAGAGTGGTGGTGACCTTCCCAATTATGTTAAAGACTGTACCTCTCCCAACCAGTTTAAGATAAAAACTAAGTACTACCTAATTAATTCAATGTAACCTACCTCACCCCCCAAAATGTTAACCCGTGTCTACTATTTTAAACAATGCTGTTTGTTGTCCAAATTGTATTTTTGCTTTTTTTTTTTCTGCCATGTCCCCCCCCCTTTTTTTCCATTTTTTTCTTATTTTTTCTCAACACAATGTATACTTTAATCTCAATTAGTATTAAGTCTTAGTGTTTTTCCTGCCCGAAACGCTTTGCGTAATAGTGGCTTTAGGCTTTGTATGTACTAGCTCTATCTATAAATCCATCAACTTTCGTATCTTACCTTGTATGTATGTACTTTACCTGAATAAATATTTGTATTTTATATTTGTATTTGTAGTGGTAGAATAATGTACTCGGAAAGGAACATTCAAAAGCTTAAATGGAGAATTTGTGTACAATATTTGGAAATATATATATTCATTAGCATATATATATATATATGCCATTGGTAATGTATATAATATATAATAAATAATAGGAGTACCACCTCTGGTGCAATTGTAGCGACCCATAGCCTCGAAGAAGTAAATAAAGAGTAGACCTTGTGGATTCTCACTGAACAATAATATTTTCTACCACCACCCCTATTCTTATATACTGTATTATATACACATATTACATTTGTTTATCATCTCTTATAGTTTTAATAATATTTTTTCTTTTGTAGCTTGTGCATGGAAAAGTGCAAAGAGGAAGATGTAGAAATATTGAAGTGTCAGTTGCGTGAAAAGGACATGGCTTTGACTGACATCCGCCTTGAAGCCCTGACTTCAGCTCACCAGCTGGAATCTTTAAAAGAAACTATAAGCAAGATGAGATCAGAAATGGTGTCACTGAAACAGGATAATGATAGATTGCATAGATTAGTGTCATCCAAATCTTTAAATTCGTCTCAAAGTTCACTTCCTGTGTCGGACTCAATAGAGCAAAGACTAAGCCTAGGTGAAGAAATGAACATGCCTGATTCATCAGATGTGATTCTAATTGACCCAAGTGATAAAGATGGGAAAAGAGTTAGTATCACAGTCCTTATGGGGTGTCATGGTGATTATGAGAAATATATGAACCCAGTAGATGGTGTGACTGTTGGTGATTGTGTTATAGGTGCTATTTCTGTAAGTGGAAAGACAAAGTGGGATATGTTAGACAGTTTAGTGAAACGGATTTTCAAGGAATATATCTTGAGAGTTGATCCAGTGTCAAATCTTGGACTTAGTGCAGAATCTATACTCTCATATCACATTGGTGAAATTGCCCGAGGGCGTCATCCAGAATCGCCTGAACTATTACCGTGTGGATATTTAGTGGGTGAAGTGACAAACATTAAAATTATACTGAAGGGGGCTACAATTAATCATGTTGATGCTTTGGCCTTTGAGACACTGATACCCAAGTCAATTGTTCAGAGATATATGTCTCTCCTCACAGAACACAGGAGAATTATTCTTTGTGGTCCCTCAGGCACTGGAAAAACATATTTAGCTCAAAAACTAGCAGAATACCTGGTTACCCGAATGGGAAAAGATCCATCACCAGGATTTATTGCATCCTTCAAGTAAGTAAATTAGCAACACTGTTGTGTAATAATCAATACGACTAAATTTACCTTGTAGAGTTAAAAAATAAGATGCATGTATAGGTGTTGATGTTGCATATAAATAATTCATAAGATTATGTAATGCACGATATCTTTCTTTTTAAACGAACAGTGTCGACCACAAGACTGGGAAGGACTTGGGAGCGTATTTATCGCACGTCAGTGACCAGTGTGAAAGCAACAGTGCTGATCTACCTTTGGTTATAATACTGGACAACTTGCACCATGCAGGAGCCTTAACTGATGTCTTCAATGGCTTTCTGAGTGCAAAATACACTCAGTGCCCATATATAATTGGTACCATGAATCAAACTACATCTTGCTCAACTACAAATTTGCAGCTTCATCATAATTTCCGGCAAGTGGAGGATGATATTTTAAATTCACAACATGCAAATAGCACGGTAGAAGACTGTTCTCTAATATTATGCAAATTATTTGAGAGAGATTTATACTTAAACTTGTTTAGTCTTGATATTATTTTGAACTGATGTTCATTAGGATAGAATTAGCTTTGCTTTGTAGCCTGAAAATTGTTTGCATGGGCAATGGAAATGAGAACAACAGTGATAGCACTCCCTTTCCCCGCCCCCTTCCTCCACGGTGTCTACAGACTCTAGTTCAACGTGGCGGCTGTTAAACACTTAGTGGTTGCCTTGTATTTTGTACATGCCCTGAACTGTGTTAATATCTTAAGAATCCCCTTTTTTTTAATAGTGAACTCAATAACCCCCCCTTTCCCCATGTAGTTAAGTGAGGCGAGCAAGATACAGAAATGTTGTTGGTAGTTATGCGAGAACTGAAAGGAAGGACAAAAGTGATATAGAACAAGTTCTCCTGGAATTGGCTTGTTAGGGAGAGTAAATACTTGACTATACTCATGGGATCATATGTCCATACCCTATCAAAGTGGGGAAACAGGAGTTTCCCCACTTTGAAAGGGTATGGGTTATGAAGAGAGTCAAACTCTTCATAGCAATGAATAACCCATTGATGGGTATTATGAACATGCACAACTAACATGCAATCCTCACATGCAGGTGGGTGCTAATGGCCAACCACATGGAGCCAGTCAAAGGCTTGGTTGGTCGTGTGGCTAGGAGAAGATTAACTCAAGTCGAGGTTGAGGCAGGATCCAGACTACCCAGGTTGCAACAGGTCCTTGACTGGCTACCTAGGTGCTGGAGTCACATAAACAAGTTCCTCGAGACTCATTCATCTTCAGATGTCACCATTGGTAAGAAAGATATACAGTATATGCCCAAATATATCTTTATATCTTATTATATACTGTACTGTATAATAAAATATATATATATATATATATATATATATATATATATATATATATATATATATATATATATATATATATATATATATATATATATATATATATATATATATATATATATATAGGTAAGAAATATAAATAAAGTATTAGTGCTTTCACGCATGTAAAGTGCATGATTAAATGTTTAAATTTATTATTGTCTTTATGAATGCAAATTAAAGAAACAGTATCAAGAGCAGTGATATGAACAACAAACACATTTTCCTAAAGTACAGAGATTTAGGCAAGTGTTTTGCAGGAAGTGCCTAAAATAAATCTTGATCATAGCTATATGAGTGTCTCACAAAGTACAAACAGCAGGAGAACTTTCTCCTGAACATACAGGACCTCTGTAGACTGTGTCAAATCTATAAATAGGACTTTGTTGAGAATTATTTTAGCATATCTCTGAATCTACTGATTAATATCAGTTTGGCTAAATGAGGGTGTATTAGGACTGTTACAGAGATATTTAACACAGTAGGTCTAACCAAAAATAGGCTTTGGACGAAATTAAAATCATCTTTAACAAGTTACCACTCGATTGTTCCTTGAGGCAATGTCAAGCTCTGCATGATGTAAGAGCCAAATTCAAGTGTGATCAGCATGACCTTATCACACTAACATGTTTTCAAGTTTTCAAGACCACAGTACAGTAGTAGTAGTAGTCTGGAAAAAATAACAAAAAAACAGGAAAGGTAGAATGCAACAAAAATCCCAGCTGCATGACCAATATCAGCAATCTTGACATGATAAAAAAACTACCATCCAATTAGTGTGACCTCATGTCTGCAGGCTGAAGGAGAGAATCCTAAGAGAGGGATTCATCCATCTCACAGTGAACAATCTAGTCAAATCAATGCAACATGGTTTTGTTACAAATAAATCATGCCTCACAAACTTTTTAATTAAAAAAAATGCAAGATTTTGCATGTGGAGCATAAAAATGCACATGACAACTACCAAATCAACAACATTACCTTGCAGCATATTAAAGAAGAAAAGGACCTTTGAGTCAATATCCACAAATCACTGAAAGTTGCACACCAAGTGGGAGATGCAGTAAAAAAAGCCAACCAAATCCTAAGAACAATCAGATGTAACTTTGACCTTAGAGAGAAGATGTTAGATATTCAACTACATAAATCTGCATTCCCAATTGGTGTATTGTATCCAAGAGTGATGACCTCATCTTCAGAAAGAGCCATCTGCTTTGGATAAAGTTCGACACCGGCAACAAAAATCATTCCTGAACAGAGTTAACTCCCAACCCAGGAACGGTTAAGGGCCACAGGACAACAACACTGCAAACCTGACATGACATTTTTCTATCATCAAGACAAAAAATTAACAATTTGGAGGATATTGATCCAGAAACTTTTCTTCAAAAGATCAGATGCAACACAAACAAGGAATAATGCTTTCAAGCTCAACAAGCAACAACGAAGGACAGAAAACAGGAGATGCTTTATCACCCATTGGGTTTTAAACCCATGGAACTGCCTACCCGCCAAAGCCATAAATGCCAAAGCACTGCTGCACTTTATGATCCAAATAGATAAAATTATCACGACAAATGGAGGGGGGGTTTACATTTGACAAGCCACCGGCTTTCTGTCCTTGTCAAGGCCACTAGAGAGAGAATGGCCCCGAGGTAAATTCAGCAACATACCCAAGTTTGTTAGAGATAAGCAATTCCTAGGTACCAACACTCGCCACCAGATGGCTCTCACTCACTCTCTCCTCATGCAACAATTTTTAAATACCATGACAGGAGGGAAGGGCAGGAACAGGGAGCCATCACCAGAAAGAGGCATTCTTATTAAATTTAATGCTGGATTTCTGGGATTTCTGGCTCCTTGGTGACTCCTCAAGCTACTTCACTCTGGACAATAAGAAAACAGGACTGCACTGTTGCTGGAAGTGAGTGACTGGAGGGAGCAGCCCAGGAATAAGGAATGGTACCAAGTTGTAAAAGAGCTGAGTACTATGCCAGAACCCACAATGCTGAAACTCCACCCAAGACACAGAAGAGAGGAAAGTGAAGGCCACAAGTATGTGGCAAGCAGCAGGCAGGGGCAAAGATCCATCAAACCACAAGCAACAACTAGGTAAAAAAAATAAGGAACACTGGGAATGCAAACAAAAAAATAAGGAACACTGGGAATGCAAACAAAAAAATAAGGAACACTGGGAATGCAAACAAAACCATTGCCAGAGCTATACAAGAGATCTTGAAGAGAATGCCAAACTGCCACAACTGGATAGAATGTGTAAAACTCCCAGTTGCCCCAAACAAGCATCAACGATGAAAAAGCTCCTCCCCCTCCCCATTTTTCTTCCAGAAATGACAGCAGCAGTCAGGGGGGCCATATAAACTTTGCTACCAGAAATGAAACTAAGAAAGAGAGAAACACCAGAACTCACTCCAAAGACAAAGACAGAAAAGGAAAACAAATCAGTCAGGGAATGGAATGAAGCTCACAAAGACCTGCAAATCCCCAAAACTCAAAAAAATGACCCTGAAGCATGTGAAGGGTCTGTCTAATTACCCAAAGCTACTCAAAGCTTCTTAACATTATGTTAGTAATAATATGATATATTTATTCATTATAATGTTAGTGCTTAATGTAGAACATGGAAAAACATATTTTTACTCTGAAAATGTATCATTTCATAATGAAATTAGGCGAAAATAAACTGCTGGTGACGCCAAAGTAAGTCGACGGTCCAAGCGATTATGTTGTGGAGCGACTTATACAAGATACATTGTTGCTTGGAGAGTGTTTGCTGGCATATCAGCCTTCTGGACCTACCTAACCTAACCAACCGACCCAAACATAACCTAACAAAACATAACCTAACAAAACATAACCTAACCTAACTAAACCTAACCTATCCAAACCTAACTTAATATAACCTGTAGTCAACCATATATCTTGGATAAGTCACTCCACAACATTGTCGCTTGGACCATCAACTTTCTATGGCCTCTCATGCCACTTAGTTTTGTCTAATTTCGTTATAAACTTTATTATTTCAGAGTAAAAATATGTTTTTTCCATATTCTACCTTCAGCACCAATGTTATAGAGAGTAAATATATCATATTTCTTCATTACTTACATAATACTAGGAAGCTTTGGGTAGCTTTGAGTAGATTTTAGTAGCTTTAGATAATTAGATGGACCGCATGTGAATGCCTTGGGTATACACAGAGGGTAGGGTGGAGAGGGAGACCACACAAAGAAATGAGGGTAGGGTCCAATCACACCAAACAAAAGACAAAGAGCACCACTCCCTTGTGTTTTGTTTGATATGGTGCCCCACCATTATGCCGACCGTGGGGCAATGACTCCAGGGTGCTCCAGCCCATGGAAGACTATCAAAACACAAGCACAGGCAAGATCAAGAAAATAATGCTGCCACACTCAAAGCCATAGCCCCTTCAAGTGCCACAAACAAAACTGGGGAGGACAACTCCCTCAACTCAGGGTTGGTAGAGGCAGACAGACTGATAACCAAAGCCCAACATTTGAGGCTGAGGAACACCCAAAAATATAACAATCAGAAAAGGCTTCAGGATCGGGGAAATAGTTGATGGCGTCTCCCTGAACAAGAACTGCAGGGCGATACCCGTTTTCCAATCCAGAGAATCTGATTATAGAATCTAGTTGCCTGAAGTGGCACAAAAGCATGGCTAGGGAAGGTGTACTGGGGCTGAAACCAGAGCTGCAACTCTCGCACACAATGGATCCCTGAAATGAGTTAACTACCACCCACCCCAATCGCTGATTATCTCTGAGGCACTGAAGCACATGCACTACTGATGCAGATTTCCTCGAGAGGAGGTAAACCCCCCCAAGGGTGAACTACTTAACCTTTTCAGGGAAGACAACCCATACCAAAGGAAATTGTCACCCCAGCAACCGCTAGAGAAGAGTATTAACTATGTGCAGCCACAAAAAATTGAGAATCGGAGCATACAGAACAGGAAGGCTGAAATAGCTACACATGAAGCCGAAAAACGAATACAAACACAAGCTCCTGCATTGGATGAGAGTGCAAAGGAAGGCCAACAGCTGAGGACTAAGAACAGAGGATAATAAAGAGCACCAGACATGTGAATGGGGAAGCCAGATAATCAGTTTACCCATAAGGTGAAGGCTGCAGTTTGGTGGCAAACTAGTGCTTCTGACTAGCTGTCACTTTCCAATAATGAGTGTAGTTACCCAAGTATACCGATTTACCTGAGGGCACTTACACCACTGCTTCGACGAGGACAGGAAGCTGGCGATTTGCCAAAGGTCCCCATCCCCCCATTTGCCTTGATCCTCTCCAGGTGAATTTTAAAACCTAACAGACTTTTGGTGTTTGCGGCTTCTGCGGGTAGGCAGATTCAAGGGTTTATAACCCTGTGGGTGAGAAAGCAAAGCATCTCCTGTTCTCAGTCCTACATTAAGGTTTGTTGAGCTTGAAACCGTTGCTCCTTGTTTGTGTTACATCTGACCTTTTGAAGAAATTGTCAGGATCAACATCCTCCAATTTGTTCAGTATTTTAAAAGTTTCAATGAGATCTGCTGTGTCCTGCCTGGTTTGCTGTGTTGGTAGGCTTTTGTCCCTCATCCATTCCTGATACGAGAGATGACTTGGCTCTGAAATGACTTTTGTTGTCTAGTGTTGCACTTTCTCCAGAGCAGCTATGCCCTTCTGAAAGTGAAGTTTCCATACTTGGATACAGTAGTCTAAATGGGGCACACCAGAGATGTATGCAGTTGAATCACTCTTATTTTCCTTAAATTCAAAGGCATGCTTGATTATTCCGAAAGTTTGGTTAGCTTCTGACTGTTGCTCCTACCTGTTGTGTAACTTTTAGAGAGTGATGGATTTTGACTCTCAGGTACTTTTTTTTTTCTTCATCAATCTCCTGAAATGTAATGGCATTGATTTCGTAGTTATGGCATGGGTTGCTATGGCTCACATGCAGGGTCTTGCATTTGTCGATATTAAAAAGCATTTGCCAGTCTTCTGACCATTGGTGGAGTTCAAGTAGCCCTCTTTGTAAGACTTCAATATCATTATCATTTCCCACTTTACCATAAATCTTTGTCATCAGCAAATTTGATGATGTGGTTTACAATATTCTTATCTATGTCATTGATGTATATGACAAAAAGGGTTGGCAAAAATAGATTCGTGTCACTAATATCAGTTAAATATTATCTTCGTTAAACAATAAAACATACTGTTTTTGATGTTATACTATACACACACACGTTGCATATAACTATCAACATTTTTGTGCACCATAATTCAATAATAATTCAGGTAAATATCAAGAGACACCAAAAGAACTGTCTAGAGAGATTTAGTGGCAATCAATGATAGCAAACTGTCAAGGCTCAGTTTCAAAATTGACTTCAGATACATGGTTGGAGATATTGGATATTTAATTAAAATTTCCAACAAACACAAGACTTAAGTTAGACTAAGGCATATGACGAAAGATTGGAGGTGCTATGTTAAAACTGGTCAACAGAAACAAATTTATGTGATCATCATTTACAAAATTGAGTTATATTATGAATTTTTGGAACCTGCAGCATCAGGAACAAGGACATAATTTAAGTTCAAAATAAATTAATGAGGTTGCAATAAAAATTCAACAAATTCTCTTGCATACCTGGAGTATACTTGGAAAGGGTTCTGGGAATTGTTCTACTCCCCGCCTCTAGCCTGAGGCCAGGATCGACTTGTGTTAATAGATGTATTACATGCGACACATGACTTGCATAGTCATAGAAGGAAACAATTTAGTGAGTGGGTAATGTATGGCAACAAAATTGGCAGTTGCAAAACGTTATATAAAGATGACAAACCTCCGGGTTAGCTCTCGTCTTGTAATTACACTTGTATAATTACAGGATGAGATACACAGCCCATCCTCCTTACAGTAACGATGAAGACATTGATATATATATTTTTTTTTTTTTTTTGAGATATATACAAGAGTTGTTACATTCTTGTACAGCCACTAGTACGCGTAGCGTTTCGGGCAGGTCCCTGGAATACGATCCCCTGCCGCGAAGAATCGTTTTTTCATCCAAGTACACATTTTACTGTTGCGTTAAACAGAGGCTACAGTTAAGGAATTGCGCCCAGTAAATCCTCCCCGGCCAGGATACGAACCCATGACATAGCGCTCGCGGAACGCCAGGCGAGTGTCTTACCACTACACCACGGAGACTGTTAAATATATATATATATATATATATATATATATATATATATATATATATATATATATATATATATATATATATATATATATATATATATATATATATATATATATATATATATATATATATATATATATATATATATATATATATATATATATATATATATATATATATATATATAATGTACAATGCAATTAGAACATAGAAATCTGAACTATTGAGTTGGACAAGCTGGAAACTAATTTTTACTTGTGTTGCTTTGACAAACCAAACTAATCTATCCTAACCTCCCTAGGGCTAACACACAATATCTGAGGCCTAATATAGTACATGTGTGTGCTGTACTATGCCCTAGGAATATTTAAGTTTGTGTTTTAACTTTATTTTAAAAGAATTCCTTACTAGTCAGTATACTATTGGTACTATCTAAAAGCTAAGAACGTACGAATTCTGACTATTGACGATTGTCACAATAGGTACTATCTAAACAAGAGGATGGGCTGAGATACAAGTGTTGTTACCATTTCCAACATTAACCAGAAGCTAGCCTTTACACTGATGAATAATTGCAAACCACCTTCCATCACTACATTCTCGTAAAAAAACAAAATAATTTTCGTTTCTGTTTTTCTTTTCAGGGCCTCGCCTCTTCCTGTCTTGCCCAGGCTCTCTAGAAGGTTCTCAAGTTTGGTTTACAGATCTGTGGAACTATTCCCTGGTGCCCTACTTAATTGAAGCCGTAAGAGAAGGACTCCAGCTATATGGGAAGAGAGCTACATGGGAGGTATGGCCATTAATTAACTTATATTTCAAGTGCAGTATCTTTGTTTTATTGGCGATATATAAAATAAATTGTTCTAACATTAATTTTGTTCCTGAATACATCCTGGTAAAGTATAGCATTCAGTAAATAGTTAACCCAAATAATGAACGCCATGTAAATGTATCTGTATACAGTATATCTATTATAAATTTGTAAGCGAGCTACCGACAATCCCTATCAAGCGAGCTACTTGATATCTTAAGATTAGTGGTACAGGAATGTATTATATTTTAAACTCTGATGTACATTGTCATAAATGTTCCCAGGTTATTACTAACTTGACATATATTTTACATAGGACCCCAGCACTTGGATCACAGAGACCTACCCATGGCCCCCCGGAACCCACGCAGGTCCACAAGCTTTATTGTCCCTTCGGCCTGAAGATGTAGGATATGACGCACTTGCACCAACTGTTACTACGACAACCCAGGACAAGTTCAAGAGTGACAACCAAGGAGAAAATGACCCACTGGTATATTATACTTATATTAATGTTTTAGTAGAAACTTTATAGATTTTGATAAAGAATGTAGATAGCAAACTGATTAGCACCAACTAGGAAGTAAAATAACTACCTCTAATTGATGATTTCTTATTCATGAACTGAACTAACACTACAGTGCAATCTGAGAGGCCTGTAATTTTCTTTGCTACTGTATATTTTCTTTACTATAAATACTACAGTATTACTGTATTTCCCATTTTTTCTTCCCCTTACATGTGTTTTTTTTATCCTTCCATATTCTTTACTCCCACATTTTTGCTTATAAATGCTTGCAAGGATATTTCTCATTCTTCCAGAGCATTCTTGTTTTGCAGTATAATTAACTACTAGTTCACAAGTATGTGGAATTCTCACGGAATATTTGAACACTTTAGTTGTTCAATACTGTAATGCATTTCAGCGTCATCTGAAACGAGTACCTGTAATCAGTTCAACCATGCTTATACACTTAATTCAGTCTCAAAATTGTCAAATATCACTTCTTTAACAATACTATTTGCAATTAGAAATACATAAGTATAGTATGGGCATAACTTATTTACCAGGGGCCAGTTTAATACATCGGGGAAGAACCCAGAGGTCACCTCGACTTGCCACCTCATCGCTCAAGACAATTATTTCTCTGCCTGGAAATATTTTCTAGTCAAAACATTGAAAATTATCTGATAAAGTATAAAAGTAATGTTTTTCTTCTTTTGGCAACTTTAGAATATAGATTTAGTATTTGCAAACCTATCTTATCTATATGTTTTATGATTAATAATTAAAAATGGTAATGGTTAACTGTTCTTTCATATATTCAGTGCATGCATAAACTATATTGCATGTACAGTGGGAGCTCACTTGACCAAATTTTACAAGGCTAGGCCATTTTGTTGCATTAGGGATTTCGTTTAAACATATGAATAATGGAAATTGCAGAAGGCCTATTGGCCCAAGTGAAGCAGCTCCTATTGATATCCACCCAAACTCATTTATATACTGCACATACATACATGCTACCTGGAGAGGGTTCTGAGAGTTCTACTCCCCGAGCGGGACCTTAGGCCAGGCTCGACTTGGGGTAACGTGGTCCAACAGGCTGTTGTTTGGAGCAGCCCGCAGGCCTACATATTCACTAAAGCCCAGTTGGTCCGGCACTTCTTGCAAGAACTTGTCTAATTGCCTCTTTAATACATCCACCTTTGTTCCATCAACATTTTTAATGCTTGCTGGGAGGGATTTCCTGGGATTAACTTTGTGTTCAGGAAACAATAACGTTTATGTATATTTATGTCCATTATAGAATGGTGACCAAAACTGAACTGCAGTATCTAAAAAGGGGCCTAAGAGGTACAAAATAAAGTTGAAGAATAATAATTATGTAATATTAGGTTGAGGAGTAATAGTAGTAATGGGAAATCCCTTAAATTAAACCAAATTCTTGGTTTTAATTTCATTTTTGATGCCATTTTGCTTACAACACATTTTTTTGTTCTAGTTGAGCATGCTCATGAGACTTCAAGAAGCTGCAAATTATTCAAGCCCTCAACAGGACTCTGACACCACATCACTTGACAACATGGAAAATCCCCTTGAGTCTACAATCTGAGAAAAGTCGACTGTTGATGTGTAAATGTGGAATGGATGTCTAAAGAATATTAACATTATGAATCAATACAGATTTGAGCAAATTCATACATTATAATTATTATTATTATTATTATTATTATTATTTTAATCAAAAGGAGTTGATTAACAGCAAGAGTGACAAGTCACGGGTAATTTTAGGGATCTAGTCAAGCCTAGTAGTAGTAGTAGTAATAGTTTGCTGATGGGAATGCATATGATTGTGCTGTAAGCATATGCTTATGATCAATTTTTTTAAAATGAAACATCTGATCAAAATCAGAACAAAAATTGTTTTTATTGCAAAGTATGTCGTAGCACATTCATGGAATACAGTACAGTATAAGAGGGTCAATGTAGAGTCAATTTTTGTCCTTTATATTGTCAATGTTTAACTTCTCATAACAAGCTCTATGAAAATTGAGTAAACGCTTCTCTACTACAATGTAGTTTATGATAGCCAGCAGCATTTGCTACTTCTGTCCACTCGTTTTGAGTATAGAGCATGGCATGGTTCCTACTCTGTACATTGTTGGCATCTGTGTGTGTGTGTGTCGGGTACCTGGATGGTGAGGCCATTGTGATTGCATCAGGCTCACTCTCCCCCTTCACTACTCATATTCTTGTATGAATTTAAGGTAGCTCAAATTTTTGTTTTTGTTTTTCAAACCTTTGTGCTCATGTTTATAATATATATATGCTGTCCTGTTGGACATTTTATTTTAGATTTGATACATTTTTTCAGAACTCTATATTACATTTTATGCACAAATATATTTGTGGAGGAATAGAAAGAACTTCCATGTAAAGGTTCTTCCATTTTTTTTAATAATAGGATGTAAATACTTATGGGTAGGTCAAGTCGGGTGAAAGCTTTAATGTGGTGTAAATATGTATTACTTGTAGTAGATTCATGTTCTTGATTGCTTAATAATGACATGAAGCTTCTGCAGATAGCATTTGGAGCCTGAATGACAATATTAAATAATTGCTCCAGAGCATCCAATCTCATGTTTGGTTTCTAACAAGGTGTATAGAGATCTCTGTAAATGTTAATTTTAAACCAAAGCCAAGCATACCAGTGTCCTTAGCTTCTGTGCCTGAGAGCTAAGATAGCAGTAGCAGCAGTTATTGTTGCTCCGAGGCATGTGGATATAAAGTACTCTATTTTTCCTTTTATTTTCTCTTCAAGCTCTTGAAATTGTGGCTTAATATTTTTTTAGCTTTAAATGCCCAAAGTTGCCAAATTCTATATTGTTACTGCCTTTCTCTTTCTTAAAATGTATATATTGTATATATTTGGTATGTGGAGTCTTAACTTGTTGTCTCGAGACAGTTGTGTGTACGTTGCGGTATACAAAATTGAATGGACCACATGTATGTTGTCAAGAATGTATAATTTGATAAAGATTTGATGGGGGTATCATGGGAAATTTGTGACATCAACAACAATTTCTAAAGATTTATGATAGCTGATGAGTGATTCCCGCTTTAGTGATAAAAACATGTACAGTAATTGGTGTTTACATCACAATGCCCATGATAGAATCCACCATATGCAGGGATTCAACATTCATCTTACCACCATACTTTACTTTTGTTAAATGTACATGGAGACGGAGGCCACAATACCCTCATTTCCATTTTTATACATAAAATAGCATTTTTAAATATATTTCTTTGAAAATGTGTGTGTTTAGTCTTCCTCCTTCTTTATCAGGCTTTTATAGCTAGAAAAGGGAATAAGTGGTATTTAACAAGCAAGAATTTTTTGTCCATACACTACTTGTGATACTTTAAATGGAATGGAATCCAATAGAACGTACTTTCAGTATGTCAGGACAAAATACAGGCACGGTGTTGAGGAATTTGTCTACAAGCAGTAAACTCAAAAGTAAATATGTACCTTCTGGTCCAAATTGTAAATGAAAGAGAGACCAAAACTGAACTGCAAAATCTAAATGGAGCCTAACCTGCTTATACTATACTTATACATACTAACAGAAATAAATCTTGGTATCCTATTTGCCTTGTTCAATATACAGTGGCGCTTCGATTAACGAGTTTAATCCGTTCTGGTACGTCACATATAGATCTTGCTCGTCATGTGGAAAACTTGTCTTGTGAAACGACAACAAAACTGTCGTAGGAGGTGTCCAAGAACCAGCGGGAACGCTCATTAATCGAGCGAAAGTTCGTCATTCAAGACATATTTTCTCGAGTGGCTTGCTCATTACTCGAAATGCTCGTAACTGGAGCCGCTTGTCACTCGAGGTTCCACTGTATATGCAATGATTTTTTTACACATTCAGATTTTGCAGGTTGAAAAATTAGATTTAGACATAGGAATGAAGATATATTGTTCTTATAATATTTTTTAACAAATATCAACTATTTTTTCAACCATTTAAAATACCAATATCATTAAATTTTTTCCCACCCTATTTTTGTATATTCCGCAGATTTTCAGATCTTGCTACTCAATACTAACTCGTTTACATACTGGTAAACAATGGAGGTACAGTACCTGGCTCAAGCTCTGGGTCAGTTACAACAGATTTAGGGGGCAGATCCCCTCTCCCCCAGATAATTTAGTTGCTGTCTCCATTATGAGTTAGGTTTTGGGAAAACCAAAACCTTTATAGTCAAAGCCCATAAAATACTGCATACTAAATCTATCATCTGTCATGTGTCTTAATCATTAAGATGAGAATCTATATATTAAATGTGTGAAGACTTCAAAAGAACGGGAAACAGATGTATTCAAAGAAATAATCACCTCCACCAAATAGAAATAAATGAAAACAGGAACATGACTCATAATCAAAACTTTTGCAGCCAAATTGCAACCTTTAATGATTAGAACACAATGTGTTTTACATTTATAACTTGACAATGATTGTTAATGAATCATAGTTAAGATCGCTAATATCTCCATTGCAGCAGGCAGAATGAACCGAGTTTCATGTACCAGTCGCAAGCACTTGCAATTGTCAAGCTTCTCAAATTACTTGTTGACTGACAGCTAAGATAACCTTAAATGAATTATACAAATAGCCTGTAGTAAAGGTTAACAAATATTAATATATACTTTGTATTAAAAATGGAGAAATTTATTCTCGCTAACCCATTTAAGGAAAATGCCCAGGGAAGACCGGCACTCTCACAGACTCAAAATCTGAGCACTGAAGTGGCACAAATTTTGGTTAAACCCAGACCAATTCCAGTTATATGCCATCCCAATTTTTCATGCAATTGTACCTTAAACCCAAATCCTAAATAGCCGAGTTGCATTTAATAACTGTTGATGTAGAATATTTATTAAAATATTATGTTTTAGATTTTTTTTATTATTATTTTGTAGTGCAGTCGTCAGTGTACTTAGTTCACTATGAAAAGGTGCCAGATCTGATTCCTGGAACAGGATAAGAATTTGAGCACATTTCCTTTCACCTGATTTCCTGTATTCACTTAGCATAGCTAGGTGAATACAGGGAAATACTCACAGCTCTTTTCTTTACTCGGTACAAGACTCTTTTTCTCATACAACATGTGATAGAAGCAACCTAACGTAACAACCTTCTAGATCTTGAACTAACATCAGAAGAAGGCATCACAAATCTTATCCAGGTAGGGAAGACGCTTTCCCCTTCATGTGACTACAATATTCTACGATGGAATGCAATTACAGAAACCCATATGATGGGCCAGGATGATCACTTTCTAGACTATCACAGAATGAAAGATGAATTACAAAATTCCTTTAGGAGGGAGGTCATTGGAGATCAAGATGTGGAAGCCTCATGGGAAAACTTTAAAAAAAGTCATTAATGAACTTGTTTAAAAATATGTACCAAGTAGGAGAAGTAAATGAAAATAAAAAGCTAGATGGATGACAGTGCAACCTCTCTTAAGAGGTAAGTATCAGTCAACCAGGAACCATGTATGTTAAGAGATATACAGAAGAGCATTAAATTTAGCAACCCAAGGAATCTGAATAGCAAAGAAAGAATAAGAAAGGGCAGTCCTCGTTCATGCAGTGGTATAACACTGGCCGCGTGCTCTCTGAACACTCTGACCTAAGGTTTGTATCCTGACCGAGAAGGACTGACTTGTACCAATCTTTAATAACACGCCTCTGTTCGTCCAGCAGCAATTGGGTAGCTATTGTTAAATGGTTGGTGGGTCATATTCCAGGGAAAGAGTGGGTAAGGTTTGCCATGAGCTATAGGAGGGGAAACTTCTCGGTCTCCTAACAGAAGTCAGAGTCGTCTGTTCCTGTACTCGCCTGTGTAAAAAAAAAAAAAAAAAAAAACTTGAAAATAAATTGAAATGAATCTGATTGGAAAAATGTGAAGAGTGGAATACTGCAAAGGTTCAATCTTTGGGCCAACCTTTTTGTCATATTACTGTACATCATTAACAAATGAGAATATTGTTACCTACATTATCAAAATTTGCAGATGACACCAAGATCTATGGTAAAGTTTGAAGCGAAAATGATATTGAGCCCTGACAAAAAAATCAACATGAATTCCACAAATGGTCAGAAGACTGGCAAATGCTTTTTAATATGGAAAAATCCAAAACTTTGCACGTAGAGCATAACAACGAACATCACATCTATCATGATCACCAAACCACACATCAGAAGATGAAGAAACGACGATGTTTCGGCCGGTCTGTCCATCCTAACACACTACGTGATGATGTGTTGTTTGGTCATCATATCCTCTGCCACCTTATTGTGATTCATCTTCTGCACAACTATCATATCAACAACACTACCATGCAGTGTTGTTAACTATAGGGCGTAGAAAAAGCTATACAAATACTATACAAAGCCTACCCTGACTTTGCGCCCTGGAGAGGTCACTCCTGATCGACAACCAGAGCGCAACTCCATGGTCTCCTGAGACTGATAGATGACCTACTACTACTACTACTTGGAATGCAGTACTATCTGGCTGCACTCTAGAATATACAGACACCATTATCAGTTCCAAGCTTGGCAGCATTGCAAGAGTTCCAGGCTTGGCAGCATTGCAAGAGTTCCAGGCTTGGCAGCATTGCAAGAGTTCCAGGCTTGGCAGCATTGCAAGAGTTCCAGGCTTGGCAGCATTGCAAGAGTTCCAGGCTTGGCAGCACTGCAAGAGTTCCAAGCTTGGCAGCACTGCAAGAGTTCCAAGCTTGGCAGCATTGCTAGAGTTCCAAGCTTGGCAGCACTGCTAGAGTTCCAAGCTTGGCAGCACTGCTAGAGTTCCAAGCTTGGCAGCACTGCAAGAGTTCCAAGCTTGGCAGCACTGCAAGAGTTCCAAGCTTGGCAGCACTGCAAGAGTTCCAAGCTTGGCAGCACTGCAAGAGTTCCAGGCTTGGCAGCACTGCAAGAGTTCCAGGCTTGGCAGCACTGCAAGAGTTCCAGGCTTGGCAGCACTGCAAGAGTTCCAGGCTTGGCAGCACTGCAAGAGTTCCAGGCTTGGCAGCATTGCAAGAGTTCCAGGCTTGGCAGCATTGCAAGAGTTCCAGGCTTGGCAGCATTGCAAGAGTTCCAGGCTTGGCAGCATTGCAAGAGTTCCAGGCTTGGCAGCATTGCAAGAGTTCCAGGCTTGGCAGCACTGCAAGAGTTCCAGGCTTGGCAGCACTGCAAGAGTTCCAGGCTTGGCAGCACTGCAAGAGTTCCAGGCTTGGCAGCACTGCAAGAGTTCCAGGCTTGGCAGCACTGCAAGAGTTCCAGGCTTGGCAGCACTGCAAGAGTTCCAAGCTTGGCAGCACTGCAAGAGTTCCAAGCTTGGCAGCACTGCAAGAGTTCCAAGCTTGGCAGCACTGCAAGAGTTCCAAGCTTGGCAGCACTGCAAGAGTTCCAAGCTTGGCAGCACTGCAAGAGTTCCAAGCTTGGCAGCACTGCAAGAGTTCCAAGCTTGGCAGCACTGCAAGAGTTCCAAGCTTGGCAGCACTGCAAGAGTTCCAAGCTTGGCAGCACTGCAAGAGTTCCAAGCTTGGCAGCACTGCAAGAGTTCCAAGCTTGGCAGCACTGCAAGAGTTCCAAGCTTGGCAGCACTGCAAGAGTTCCAAGCTTGGCAGCACTGCAAGAGTTCCAAGCTTGGCAGCACTGCAAGAGTTCCAAGCTTGGCAGCACTGCAAGAGTTCCAAGCTTGGCAGCATTGCAAGAGTTCCAAGCTTGGCAGCATTGCAAGAGTTCCAAGCTTGGCAGCATTGCAAGAGTTCCAAGCTTGGCAGCATTGCAAGAGTCCCAAGCTTGGCAGCACTGCAAGAGTTCTAAGCTTGGCAGCATTGCAAGAGTTCCAAGCTTGGCAGCATTGCAAGAGTTCCAAGCTTGGCAGCATTGCAAGAGTTCCAAGCTTGGCAGCACTGCAAGAGTTCCAAGCTTGGCAGCATTGCAAGAGTTCCAAGCTTGGCAGCATTGCAAGAGTTCCAAGCTTGGCAGCATTGCAAGAGTTCCAAGCTTGGCAGCATTGCAAGAACTGATATCGGGACATTCGTTTAACCGTTGAAGTCTAGCATACAAGAGTACTCCCATACAATTGAATATCTAACTCTTAATGTATGGTAATTATGTACAGATTGGCATATAATCTATTGCACTAATTTATGAAAATCAAAAGAAGCTACAACTCTCAAAATAGTATATTAAAACAATAACTTAATTTTTCTAATACACATGTACTG